TTAGATACATATATGGAATGATTGCAAGTAATCCTAAAGCACCTTATTATGAAAATATTAGATTCAGTTACATATCACCAGAAAAAATACCTAGCGTAAAATCATTTTTACCAGAGAGGAGTACTGTAATCATCTTTGAAGATTTATGTATAGCCCCTGAATCTATCCAAAATCGAATTATTCCATTCTTCACACATGGGTGTCATCGAAATATAAGTCCAATCTTTGTAATACAAAAATATCATCATGTCCCAATAATTATTTGTGAAAATCTTACTCACTTAGTTATATTTAATGGAGGCAGTAGTTATCAAGATGTGTCCAAGATAGCTGGTCGTTATACTGATGATGTTAAGAATGCATCAATGGTTATTAATAGTTATTTGTGTAAAGGTGAATTTATTGTATTTGATTTAGATAGGCCTGAGGATGATCCATTGGCAATTCGCTTAAGATTCAATATGCCATTGAATTTGTAGAAAGAGATAGAATTGCGTCAAAAGAATAAAAAGCAAACCAGCTGATAATGTGGAACATTGAGTAGTAAAATATATGCATAATCTATTTCGGAATGTACGACACACACCATTTGAGATCGCCTGGTCCGAGATAGACAAATCCGAGATGATCAAATCCGAGATGTGCAAAATACGAATTCGGCTGCCTTTTCGTGATTGGATCACTCGAAGCCAGATAATTATAGCTTTGCATAGTAGGTTGAGAAAAAAAGGGATAATAAATTGGAATGTTTGGATTTATACTGGTTAAAGCATGGTTGAAGTGCGGTTGGAAAAGTAATAAATTATACAATATATCGTAATATATCGTAATGTAAGTACGGTTAAAGAGCGGTTAAAGTACTGTTGAAGAGCGGTTATAGTCATGAAATATGCTTATTATGTGACAGAGACATTAGCTCTGCTATAAAAACGAAGCAAAATTTCTAGATGCGTTAGCTTTCCACAAATAACATAAAAATGGTTGAATGGACTGATGCTCAAATCCGTATACTTATTGATGAGCGTAGAGATAGAAACGGGGAATATCATAATTTTGGAAAGAATCGAATCAAATTTTGGGACAGCATCGCAACCAGAATTAATCAAGAACTTAACACGAGCTTTAATGGTCACCAATGTAAAGAAAAGTTTATGAATCTTGTCCGGGATTATAATGTAAGTTAAGTTAAAATTTCGCTCCAATACTTTTTTACGTAACTTGCTTCATATTGGCGAGCACCTAAATCTATGATTAGTCGATGTGTGATTATATGGCAGGAAATCGAAGAGCACGAAGAAGTCGAACGGGTGCGCAATATTTCAATGAATTCCGTACACATTTTTGGGAGAGGCCTGAAGATGATTTCGATAGAATCCGTAACATGAACACTTCAAACCGTAGACAACGTAGAATTAGGAGGAATAATACACCCGCACCATCTACTGGAGAAGTTGAACATGTATTAGGTCAAACATCACCCGATAATCGAAGAAGCCGAAGAACTTCCATTGATAGTCGAAGAAGTCGTAGACGGTCAGCATCCCCCTCTCATAATCCTAATGTTGGAGCCACAGATGAAGCGCAAAATAATAATTCTTCAGAAATGAACCAGAGTCATGCCGATTCCAATAATGTACCATCCAATTTTTCGGAAGAACCAACACGGCAAAATATGAATTTATCAGAGAACGAAAGTGATGTTAGCATGCATGATGTAGGCAGTAGCCAACCGCTCTCTCATATGGAATCAATAAATGAGGAAGAAAGATAAAAACTTCAGAAAAATATATATTAATAAAGCAATTATTTATTATTTTTATTTCGTGTTTCGTAATAATCTGTATGCATGTGATATAGTGCCCCCAAGGGAGCAACCCCATGTGATCGCGGAAAAATGATTTATGTGTTGTCTAGTTATGAATTGATTATAAGTTTTTTCCCATTCTTTCATCAGATTATCGACCATGTAGTACTTAAACCGCTCTTTAGTATTCTGCAACGTAATAACTCTTCACCGACCAGCCTATCACGATCTGTTAAAAACTTATGATATTTCCTAGTGTCTTATTTCCTTTCTATTCCACCACGATAAAAGCGTATATCTCTTTCCAAGTCAGCAGGAAAACACCCCATGGCCCATCTATTTTTATCAGCCTCAGTAACTTTGCTTTATTGATTGTAATAGAAAAAAAAATCGAATCTATTGTTATTGATATTCTAAATGGAATAAAATATCGAAGATAAATTAACAATATAAATCTTAGAACCTTACTATGAAATGTGAAATGCTGTAGCAATGCGTGAGTTTTTTTTAACCATCCTGAAAATATACAAATGCATTCAAAAACAGTATATAGTAATTTATGTGCGGGCGGTTGTATTTTCAATAAAAACGAATTTCATTTCCATCTTTTCGATGATCAATTGTATAAAACCTAGAAGTTTTGCATCTTATATAAAATATTTATTAACATGCGAATATTCAATGAATTGCGAAATCTGTGACCTCAAAGAAAGCTGAACTAGCTTGGGCCAATAAAGTAGTTGCAATTAAAAAAAGACGAGTGAGATTTTTGCACAAGATTATTGATTATATAATATCACGAGAATATACTGCGTTACATCTATATCAAAAATTTTTTTTACAAGCTGTCTCATATCTCTTTCAGACAATTCAAATCCACTTGGTTATTACCGAATTTTCCGTCGCAAGCCTGAAGTAAATAAGATCAGCTTGGTTATTAACGAATTTTCCTTTGAAGAATAACGTAAGTTCCCTCCTATCAAATAATCAATTAACTGACTGACTTTCCCCCGACCGTCATTTATTTAATTTATCTGTTTTCCAAAACTCATTCCCAAATATTGAATTTAATAATGTTACCACCAACAGCTCCTCTGAAACCATGCCCTACAAGGGGATCTTTTCTTATAAAAACGATAATATTAACGTTATCCATGTCGACAACAATGTTCGAATAATGATCGAAAGGATAACCACTGATATAGCGAGGATTTATTTTGTCAACAATCGAGGCCGTCAAATTCAAATTCCAGTCAACACTGTTCTTAGGAATACGACAAATAATCAGAATGAACCAATTCATAACAACGCTTTTTATATCACCTGGGTTTCTAATTATATATTGCTTCAGAATGGCATTGAGATTTTTAGACTAGAAAATCAGAAACAACAGGCGATAAAGGGAGGGGCAGATCTTGAAACGGATTTAATCGAGCAATAGTTTTGAAGGCGAATTTCTTCATCTAACCTAAATGAAAATAGTTTACTTTATGGTTGTACTGTGTTTTTTGTGGGGTAAAATTTGATTTGCATTGGGAAAAATTATTTAGAATACCGCTTGATTTGCAGTAAAACATCGGATAAAAATATATATTTGTTTTCATTATTGTTACAGATAAAATACACGAGTTACATAGGTGGTGGGTACATTTTCAGAATAAAAATACATTAAATATATCGCATTTATTTTTTTATTTGCTAAAGTTAATATGCGCTGATTAAACAATCCGATTTTCTATAAGTTTCGCCGGTATTTAAATTGTAATAATAACCTTCATCATCATCAGATAAACCGCAATACCCTCCATCATCGTTGTCATCACCTTCGTTGTTATTGAAGGAATCATCACCAACATCATAGTTGGAATCTTCAGGTGCGATAGCATCCCCACTCCGCGAGTCATCGGGCGCACTTACCTGTATCTTGACTTCTGATGGATCAGAATCTTGATCAATCTCTTCACATATCTCAACCTCCGGTAAAGATTTAGATGCAATAGCATCCTCATTTCGTGAGACTTCACTTATCGAATTAGATGGAGTGATTGTAATACTTACCTTGGTTTCTGGTAAAACTTGATCGTTCCCCGGGGAACGGTTTTTGAATTCACCTGATCTATAATATTCTGGATCTGTGCATTAGTCAATTTTGAAATCTCATTCGCACTATATGTAACTAACTTAATTTTATCTATTCCAACTCCCCTTTCCCCGAATAACATAAGAAGTTTTCTAGCTCTAAGAGTTTTTTTGCGCAAATTATCTTGGGTAGTATTTGGAGAAAAGGTTTCATTTCTTTATAAATCATCGTTCTCGCCGTCTTGTCTTTGATCTTGCCATCAGATGTAATAGCATGAACCTTGTTTTCGAATTCAAGAGAATAATAATACCAGATTAAGATTTCCTGTTGTCGAGATCTAATTGCCGTTTTAAATAAATAAGATAGATGTTGTGCTGAAGAAGCAGAGCTTCGAATTTCCAATTCACCTCTATTCTCCGATGAATTAATTTCAGTAGAGTTGGTATTATCTATCGCAGAATCAATGAGACTTTGCTTAGATGCGACAGCATCCTCACTTCGTGAGTCAGTAGATAAGTACAATTCTCCTATTAAACCCTGCTCTACGATTTCATTTTTATCACACTCAACCGATATTTCAGTTTGATCGTTTTCCGAACTAATAGTCTCTGTACCACATGATAAATTTTCATCTCGATCGTTCCCTGAGGGAACGGTTTTCATATCACATAAATTTCCAGCTTGGTCGTTTTTTGAGGGAATGGTTTCTGTATTACCGCATGATAGGTCCTGGATAGCTGAGGATATTTTGCAACGAGTCCCTTCTTGTTGAAGCTTTTTTTCCCGGTTCCTCTCTCTAATCTCATTACTTACCTTTTCTTTATGTACCGAATCCAGAAAATCGTCGACCATTTTATCCTCCGGAGATTTAGGTTCTGTGTGGATAGGAGATTCAGGGCATCGACTATCTTTTTCCTGGTATATATCAGAATTTGGCGTGAGCCGGCACATTCGTGCTGAAGTGTTATTAGTTATATCGGATGAGGGAGTATTTTTGCCGGAGGCAGTCACAAAGTGGCTAGAATTTGAAGTAATATCAGATGTATTAGATGCAGAAGCATTCTCGGTTTGTAAGTCTTTCTGCTCGGGGATATCGCCAGAATTTGGAGTATTATTGCGAAGCAATGGGACTCCGCCCCTATCAGCTATATCCGATGCCGGAGCGTCCTTACTTTGTGAGTCATTCTGCGAATCCTTCTGTTCTAATTTCGAAACTCTGGATCTAAGCTCGTCGATTTCGACATCTCTTAATTTCGTGTTCTCTGCACTTTCTTTTGCGGATTGTTCTAATTCCACAATTCTAGCCATAAGTCCCACTTCTTTAGCCAAGAATTCAGCCTTCTCCTTTTTAAGTTCAGTAATCTCGGCTATAAGCTTGAAGTTCTGTTCTTCTAGTAAATCGATTTTAGATTGAGTGTTTGCCATTTTTTATATAGAATACGGATATATTTAATTCTTTATCAAAAACCTCGTGAGGTTTCATCCGGGGCTATGGGATCACGACCCCATTCATATGTCACGAAATTTTATTTGAATCTGATCGTTCCCCAAGGGAACGGTTTTTGCCAAGAAAAAATAAAAATAAATTCAGAAAAATTCGGAAAAAAATATATATTCGCTTTATTGATACAAAAATACAGTCTGGTGCAAAAGTCTTTGGACAAATATTTTATGCCGCAGCTCCGCGGAAACTGCGCCAAATCACATGATG